TGATGATGTTTTCGATGTATTTAAACTTGATTCACGACAATTCGATGAAATGAAAGAAAAACATTTTTTCAAGCTACGGAATGGACAATATGTTGTTAAACCTGGAATCGCAAGCAGTTTATCATTTTTAACAAAATTGTTAAAAGCAAAGCAAGAAGAACAGCAATCATTAACAGACGATGGTGATCAACAAGAGCGAACAAACGATTTCATTAATAATCATCCATTACTGAAATCACTAGTTTCATGGTATCAGCACAATGATAATGATAACAATAAAAATGATTGCAAGCATTCGTTCTTGAAAATGTTCATTGATAATATTACATCTAATTTATCAAAACCGAGTAATCACTTTAGATACCATGATTCAGTTAAGAAATTTGCCGCTGCGTTATATATCTTGGGAGGAAAACAAGCTTATCAATTCGTTCGTCTGAACTTATACGGCTCGCTACCAAGTTTAACAACATTGAATGCGATAATAATGAACACTCATCTGAAAATAGATGAGGGAAATTTTAGATTTGATCTATTGGAACAACATTTTGATTCACCAAATACAAAATTTTGTTTTTTATCTGAAGACTGCACGGGAGTTATTCGAAAAGTTAAATATGACACCACAACAAATAGCTTCGTAGGATTTACAACACCACTCAAGAATGGAATACCAATACCACAATATTATAAAACGGAATCATTTGAAGAATTAAAGTTTTGGTTTGATACAATCGAAAAAGCACCACTTCTGAACGTACACATGGTTCAGCCGATACCATCATCATCAGACGAAAGACGTGTTCCGATCCCGTTTTTATTAGGTGCTTATGGTGTTACTAGCAAGTTCACGGCTAATGATGTTTTACATCGATGGATGTTTATATTCGAAAATTCCTTCGAAAAAGAAATCAGAATAATAGGTTTTTCAACAGGTAAATGTGAAGAAATAAATGCTTCTTGATACGTATAATTATGAGAGAGAAACTTCTGACTTTTCTTGTCTTTGTAATAGATGCTGACAACAAATACATGCGTGCAATGCGTCTGGCTAGTGGATTTTTCGCTTCCCTTCCACATTTCAAATTTCACGATCATCTTCATTTATTCAAAATACAATTACCGTCTCAATGGTCATGGTTCTATCTTCGACCACAACAACTTCTCTTATTCTTTCAAGATCCAATTCATCTTGTCACCAAATGGCGAAATCGACTATTATCAACAACAGCAGATTTGTGTCTTGGACAAGATCGAATCACTATGGAGCACTTACGAGATATTCTTAATAGTGATCAGTACACAAAACTAGATCATGGCTTGACCAAATCTGATTTGAACCCAAAAGACAGACAAAACTATAGCTCATCTGTGAAATTAGTATCGAATGATTTATTGAATTTATTGGCTGATAGAACAGATGCTCATGGTACTCTAGTTTATTTACAGTCATTGAAAATGATAATCACAGCATACATTGAAAAATCTACGACTATTACTGAGCGTAAGTGTGCCTATCTCTAATATACAATTGAAAGGAATGAGAATAGATTGTCACCTTTGATTCTAGCTTATTGATGTCTATATTTTTTCTCTAGGCTTAGAATCATCATGGTGCCTAGTATTTGTGTGTCGTTTATGGTGGTCGTGGACTAAGAATTTGAAAGTTTCCAAACCATCGAAAACTACAACAGTAAAAACAAATAAAAAGATGAATAGCAATGGCAAATATTTCATTACCAAGCCAGCCTATTTATCCGTGGAAATCAATGCTCACAATTTACTTTATTTAGTTTTACTAGTGCAACAGAAACAATTACCAAAAGAGGCCTTAAATATATATTTATTTAATTCTCAGGCGTGTGAATCGACGTTTCGTAATACAAGATCATTGAGTGGTGCATTCTCAACAATAGTCAATTTTACAGTAAATGACTTTCTTCGACGTTCACAAAAACTGTCCATGTTGAACAAAATGAAATGTGATCAATCCAATGAAAGCTTATTATTTCCTGTACATCACAAACATAGACAAGACACGCATTTATTATCGACACTCCATTTGGAAGATATTGATGAACTAGACATCGAACAAATAATATTGAATGCATATTACAGAGCGATCAATCTTATTCAACATTCAAAGATATCAGCATTATTAAAGGAACGTGGTATTTTTGCTTTAGAGTCATTAAGTAACTATGTTTACAAACAATTAAATACAAACTCAAGATTGTTTGATTACTCTACACAAACAACAAATGACGACAGTGATGAATTGGAACTAGATGAGGACGAGGATGATGCCGATGATACAACAAACAGTGATGCTGAAGACAACGAAGAACTATTAGAGTCAATCGGTGAAACCGGCGACAATATTGATGAAGAAGTCATGACTTCAATAAAATCAACTTTCTCCGGCATCAATATTGTAGATAAAGTTAGTCCGCACTTGAACAATTCATATTTCAAAATCAAAATTAACGAAGATTGGCAATATTTGCATAAAGAATCAGCATGCTGGATTTTAACTGACACAAAAGCTCATTCATCAAGTGATCGTCTCTCTCGTGTAATTGAAACAGGTCAGAACGATCAATAACAATGCTTGCCTCTTCTCTGTGTCCTTTTCTTAATCTCATCCATTTGAATAAAGATATTGATCTCTAAGTGAAGACTTTAAAGCCTTTGATATGTCTTAGTATGTGTTAGCTCTCCGATGCTTAAACGACTTTTAATCACGAGAAATGAGTTCAGTCCCCTGTGAATAAGCCGAGACCAGCGTCTAGTGGATTCTGGAGAAGCTAAACAAATTCTGCTGCGAGGGAGAAATTACCAACCTGTGTCAATGGGTACTTGTGAAGGTAGTATTGTATCTCTTAAATATTTATTTTATATAAGCAGAATGAAAAACAATGAAATCAGTTTGAATATATATAACAAATGAAAGAAGATAAAATAAAATCTTCACACACTGGTTTATAAATAGAGAAGAAAGAAGACTAGTAGTATCCGTCCGCTTAAGCAAAGAAAAAAGTACATGCGTTAACTGAAAACAAAATATATGAAAATAACAAAGAGAGAAAACATCATGTTACATCATATATATAAAACTACTTATGGACTAGCACCTGGTCTAACTACTATGACATAACAGTATATCTCGGTACTTCATGGTACTTCTCGGTACTTCGTGATACTTCTC